CTACTCGCTTCACCTAGCCTTTATCACTGGTGGTTGCTGTGCGACGTTTTTTCCCTCCAATTTTAAAAAATTTTTATTTAAAGCTTTGAGTTCTAAATTCTGTCCCACCCCCCCCTTCCTCTCCCTCTTCCCTCCTCCCTGAGACAGTAAGCAATTAGGTAAAGATTATGCATGTGCAATTATGTAAAACAATTCTATATTGGTCATTTTGTACAAGGACTGGAATAAAAGAAAAGATGAAAGAAAGTGAAAAATAGCATGCATCAGTCTGTGTTCAATCAATATTAACTCTTTCTCTGGAGGTAGATAGTATGCTTCATCATGAGTCCTTTGGGATTGTCTTGTCTTGAATCATTATATTGCTGAGAATAGCTAAATCATTCACAGTTCTTCATTATACAATATTGCTGTTACTGTGTACAGCATTTTCCTGGTTCTGTTTACTTCACTATGCATCAGTGCATGCAAGTCCAGGTTTTTCTGTCATCATCCTGCTTGTCATTTCTTACAGCACAACAATACTCCATTACAGTCATATACCACAGGTATTTAATCATTCTCCAGTTGATGGACATCCCTTTGATTTAACATTTCTAGTATAATATTAAATAATAGAGGCGATGATGGGCATCTTTGCTTTACCCCTGATTGTACTGGGAAGGCTTCTCGCTTATCCCCATTACAGATAATGCTTGCTGATGGTTTTAGATAAATATTACTTATCATTTTAAGGTAAGCTTTATTTATTCCCATGTTCTCTAGTGTTTTTGATAGGAATGGATGCTGTATTTTGTCAAAGGCTTTTAATGCATCTATTGAGATAATCATATGATTTTTGTTGCTTTTGTTATAGATATGGTCAGTTAACTGTTCATAGTTTCCCTAATACTGAACTAGCCCTGCATTCCTGGTGTAAATTCTACCTGGTCATAGTGTATGATTCTTGTGATATAATGCTGTAATCTCTGTGCTAGTATTTTACTTAAAGTGTTTGCATTAATATTCATTGGGATAATTGGTGTATAATTTTCTTTCTCAGTTTGCCTCTTTCTGGTTTGGGTATCAGCACCATTTTTGTATCATAAAAGGCATTTGGTAGGACTCCTTCACTTCTTTTTTCAGATAGTTTATATAGTATTGGGATATAATTATTTTTTAAGTGTTTAGTAGAATTTGCTTGTGAATCTGTCTGGTCCTGGAAATTTTTTCTTAGGGAGTTCATTGATGGCTTGTTCAATTTCTTTTTCTAAGATTGGGTTAAGTATTTTATTTTTTCTTCTGTTAATCTGGGTAATTTATATTTTTTGTAAATATTTATCCATTTCATTTAAATTGACAAATTTATTGGCATGTAATTGGGCAAAATAGCTCCTAACAATTGTCTTAATTCTTCTTCATTGGTGATGAATTCAGCCCTTTCATTTTTGATACTAGTAATTTGTTTTTCTTCTTAACTTTTAAAAATCATATTAACCAATGGTTTATCTATTTTATTGTTTTTCATAAAATTACCATCTAATTTTATTTATTAGTTCATTGGTTTTCTTTCTCTTTTGATTTTCAGAATTTTCAATTTGGTGTTTAACTGGGGATTTTTAATTTGTTCTTTTTCTAGTTTTTTTTAGTTGCATGCCCAGTTTGTTGATCTGCTTTTTCTCTTATTGATGCAATGATTAGAGATATAAATTTTCCCCTAAGTACTGCTTTGGTTGCATCCCATAAATTCTGGTCTGTTGTATCACTGTTGTCATTTTCTTTAATGAAATTATAGATTGTTTCTATGATTTGTTCTTTGACTGACTTTGTGCAACTTTTTTTATGATGCTATTGAGAGGTGTTTGGATAGTGCCTCTTTTTCCCCCTCATATATCTGACAATAGCCCACAATATTATCCTCAATTAGTTTTTGAAGTATTTGGATCCAGTTTTCTTTCTTTTTTAACTTCATTTTGCAAACCAATTTAATGCCACAAATTTCAACTTAAAAAAAAAAAAGTGCTTTGCAGGTCAGTGCCAAGAGGGCTTGGGTCTACCCCCACCCCCAAATGGATCCAACTTTCAATACAAGAAAAAAATTCACTAAATTGATAAAATGCTTCTGCCAGCTGTTTTATTGTGAACGTTTTTGATTGACCTTGGGTTCTTAATCTTCCCTTTCTTCTTCAATCTTTTTTTTTTTTAAGGCAATTGGGGTTAAGTGACTTGCCCAGGGTTACACAGCTAGTAAGTGTCAAGTGTTTGGTCTGAGGCCGTATTTGAACTCAGGTCTTCCTGACGTCAGCACCTCGCTGCCCCTCGCTGCCCCTCGCTGGCCCTTCTTCTTTAGTCTTTATAGCTAGCAGCTCAATCAGACCCGCATTGGATAGCTCTTCTCCATGAGACACAATCAACTCCTCCACATTCTTATTCACTTATAATTCCAATTCTTGTGTTAATTTTATAGTCTTGTTTCTCACTTTTTCAAACATTTCATTTTTATCAAATCCATGAAAGTTGGGAATGAACTATGGGCACACTCTTTTTCCCGGAACTCTCTTCATACTTGTCTGTGTTCCATCTTTCCATGCCTTAGCATTACTCTGGATTGCATGATGAATATTATAGGCTTCTAGAAATCTCTCCATGTCAAGTCCTTATCTGCATCCAAGGTTGCAATTGCCTGTGCAAATGTACTGCATAAATAATATGCCAGCCTTGAAATTTGCAATCACTCCTTCGTCCATAGATTGTAATAATGAGGTAGCTTTAGGGGGAAGGTAGAGAACTTAGACATTTTCATTTAAAAATCATCTAAATGGAGAGGGAATGAAGCAATGCGTAAACTATTGTTCAAAGATGATACTGGTTATCCATGCCTTAGGATTAGTGAATTAATGCACAGATAGTGTTACTCTGCTGATTTTTTTCAGTGCTCTGGGATTTTCTGAGTGGTGCACAACAACTGGTCTTAATTTACAAGTACCAGATACATTTCCTCCAAACAGAAGAATAAATCTATTTTTCGAAGCTTTATGCCCTGGCATCGTTTTTTCTTCCACTAAGGAGTAGGTTGAAGATGGAATTCTTTGATAAAATAGGCTGGTTTCATCTACCCTAAAAATTTGCCCTGGTAAGCAGAGACTTTCGTCTGTTGTTTTTTGTAGGAACTCTGGGAACTTCTTTGCTGCTTCAGTATCTGCATTAGCAGCCTCTTTTGATACATGCTTGTTATGAAATCCTGCACAGTTTTAAAATCATGCAGACCAACCAGTGCTTGCTGTAGGTACTTGTGTTCCTTCAGGGTACTTTACCTTTAAATCTTCAAAGAACCTTTGAGCCTTGGCTTGAATTGTTATCAAACTTAAAGGAATATTCTTCTGAGTCTGATCTTCTGTCCATATAATTAAATAGTTTCTCCATATCTAGAATGGTACCTTCTCTTTTTTCAACCGATAAGTCACCTTCATGCAAGCACTGCCTATGTCTTTATCTGGGCAGCATCCTTCACTATGGTGTTCATAGTTGACACTTCAAGACTAGGTTCACATACTATTGATCATAGTTTTTGTCCTCCTTCATATTTTCTAGTTAGTTGACTTATGCTTTGAGGTGGTTCACTATTCCCCTCAAAAGCATATTTGATGCCAGCCATAGTGAAAATATAAAGATCACTATTGAACACAGGGAGAGGCATAGTATCACTCACTGTCTGCAGATATGTAGGAACTGACTTAGAGATGATTCTCAGCTTCCCCATAGCGTTTATACTGCTTGAATCATGCAGCATCTTATTGAACAATGTCTGCTTTATGTAAAGAATTTTCCCAGTGTTTTTTGGAACACAGATTTCTTTCAGAATTCTTTATTTAAAGCACAATTTATGTAAAGCAAGAACTGTCTGTAACTATTTTTCATTCTTTAAAAGAGGCAGTACTGCTCAGTTTTCCTTTACCTTCTTTAGATCTTTTATTATCTTCTTTCATATTATTTTGTAAGTGAATTTTAAACCAGTATTGTCATTGGCTACCATTTTTCTTGCTAAGGGTAACTGGGACATAATTGCTGGCCTTTTTATTCAAGGGCCTATTTTTCATTGCTTGAACTTCTCTAAGACATGGAGATAGCGTTTTTACCTTCTCCATTTAACAATTTTAAAAAATTGGCAGCTTGTTTAAATAACAGATTGTGTTGGAGATGCTCTAATCTCATATAGTGCCTTCTCTTTATCCTTTTGTGATAGTAGTTAGTCAAGGAACTGAAAAAAAAATGGCTGATAATATGATGTTGGTACCTGCTCTTTATAGTAAATTCTTTTTTTAATAGGTAAAATTAGTATAAAAATGTCTCCTGTCCTCTGTATACAGTTTTACTATAGCTTAGGTAAAAAGTAATTTAGCTAGAAAAGTATTTACATTACACACACACACACACACACACACACACACGTCACATCTATTTGATATATATGTGATATATACAAAACAGGTAAAGTATATTTCAAACATTGCCTTTTATGATTTTCTGCCCTAAATTTCTGAAATATTAAATTACAAAGACACCAAATTGAGAATTTTAGTAAAATATTTCTACCTCATATGAGGCCAGTTTTTTGGAAATTGGTTGGGGGGATCCATGTGGAAACTCTCAAAGCTTAAAAATGCATTTGGGCTTGAGGTTGCAAGGTAGAGAGGTTGAGTAAAAGTTATGACAGATATTTTAGTGGAAAAAGAAAAGGAATATTTGTTGTCAGAAATATAAAGGGAATTTTAAAAAGCAGATGTAAAAGAGAAAAGTCTAATGATATTGCAAACATGAAATAATTAGCAGTTATGGGGCATAAGGGGAGAAGTAACCTGAATGAAATTTGATGAGAGAGATTTGGGAATTGAAATATTCTAATTGAAAAACATTTTATTTCTTTATTGATCTGCCTTGAGATACTTAACCTGTTCCTTAGTTTATTTTTGACACTCAGGATGATTTAATGTGTCAGATTGATACATCATTTTTTAATTTATTAGCGAATAGTGGAAAATGAGAAGATTAATGCAGAAAAGTCATCAAAACAGAAGGTGGACCTTCAATCATTGCCAACTCGTGCCTACTTGGATCAGACTGTTGTACCTATTTTATTACAGGGACTTGCTGTGCTTGCAAAAGAAAGGTGAGATAACACATGCAATCTGATTTTCAATTCTTTTGCAAATGATTTATATTTTTTTTAAAGTACTATATGTTAATTTAAGTATTTCACATTTTGAAACAACTGTATGAGTTTTAAGTACTTGTAAGCCCGAGGTTGAGTCTAAGTAGAGACAGTAGATGATATTTGAGTCTTGTTCTTGGAACTGCCTTTTTCTAGGTACCCAAATCAACCCAGAGGTTGGTAGGAATGGTTTTCCATGCCATTTCTTTTCCTTTCCTGTTTCTGGATGCTTTATAGGTCTTTAAAAAAAATCTCAAGGGAAATTATGAGAGGACTTGGTATTCAGAGAGATAATGTTGCCACTGGAGTTATCTTTTTCCAGGGTATTCTCTGGGTCAATTAGACAATGATAGGAAAAGGATTCAAGGAGTAGCAATGATGATAATACATTTATGCTACTACTTTTCCCTCAAGTCACCTCAGGAGATAAAATGTCCAGTAGATTCACTCTAGTATTTGTTGCTTGCCTGTGATTTACGTTTTATTATGTAGTAAAGATAATCTATTTGTTTAAAATTAATGTTTTTTTTTTGCACATTATTATTGCCTGTAAATTAAGTAGAATAAATTAGGGTAAAATTGGAAATCATCTTGATTTGCAACCTTTGGCTTTACAGTTATTTCTCCTTTTTCTGCCTTTTTATTTTCCCCTAACTCCTAGCTCATTGATTTCTTTTTAGGTAAATAGATCAATTGGAAAATATCTTTTTGCTAATGAAGTTAGTCATCATTTTAGTGCCCATTGTGTCCTACTGTAATGAGTTTAAATTTTGTCAGAAATAAATTTGAAAATTTACCATAGTACAACTTAGGAACGTATCTCAGGCTTGAAGAGGTGAGTATTATCTCGTATTTAGAACTAGATGTGCAAGTTGCTACTACTTCTGTCAAGTATAATTCTAATGTAATAGATGCTTAGATGTTTGTTTTGATTTTTATGTGCACAATTTAAGATTCCAATGAAATTGGAATTATTCTATGGGTATTTGGATTTATCATTGAGGTATTTAAACTAAAGGTGAGTTAATTTATCTCTGCTTTTTTCCCTCTGTTAAGTAAGTATAACTGGGGTTGTACTTTTAATAAAGGTTAAGGTTTCAAAGAAAGTTTTTGAATGACAAATATTGGAATTTTAAAAATAACTTCAGCAAATTGATATAAAATAAAAATAAAATCTGCCTCGTTTACATGTGAAGCAGATGTTAATTTGTTTTTTCAGTTAGAGCAAATGAGTATTTCAAGTCTTAACATCTTTTGGGCCAACGTCAGTCAGATGTCAATATAATATACCATGTTGTGACATAAATGAAATGTGCGATTATTAGCCTCAAATCCAGATATTTAGACTTCTGGAATATGATAAAATATACAAAATATACAAATACAAAAAATACAATAAAATATACAAAAATGATAAAATTGTGAGATGTTAATAGGAAACTTTGTGTTCCAAGGTGATGGTATTTCAAATTGTCCCTAAAACCATGATGTAAGAAGTGACTGTAAAATAATGAGACTAATTTATACATCCAAATGGATGTGATCTCCTTTAATGTAGTTACCTTGTAGAGCCTTTAAACTTATTCCAGAATGTTGCCTCTTTATCTTGTCATCTTCCTTTCTAATTTAACCCTTGCCTTTATACTTGAGTAACTTCAGTTTAGGTATCAGTACAGGTATCAACACCCTGGCCTTCTAGTTCATCAATCTCCTCAGCTTCTGTGACTTTCATATTTATTTTATCTTGTCCACAAAGAGATACATGGCTATGTCCTTGATATGACCATTATCTGTAATTATTCTACTTTCCTGATCCAGAACTCTGAAATTCATCTTTTCCACTACAGCCTCCTGTTCTTCAGTTTCTCTTGCTTCAGCTCACCTAAACCTATACTGGCCAATGTACCTTTAAGACTTTCAGGCCTTTACATCTGTCTTATAGTTGAATTTTCTTTTATAACTCCTATATTAGAGTTTGAACTCCTTGAGAGCAGGTACCTTCTCACTTTTCCTGTTTATATCACCAGTGCTTAGTATGTAGTAAGCACTTAATAAATGCTTTTTCCTTCATTCTCACTGAAAGTTCCTTATAGCAAAGAAATCATAGGTCCAGTCAGTATCCCTATCCCACAAATACATGGGCAGGCTTCATGACTATGAAGTAATAAGATGGGATTTTCAAATAAATGTATTTTGACAATGCATCTTACAGTTCATTTTACTCTGTATCAGTTCGTATGTCTTACTACATTTCTCTGAATCTTATATTCATCATTTCTTAGGGTGCCATAATATTTCATTACATTCATATACCACAGTTTGTTCAGCCATTCCCCCAATAGACAGATACCTATTTCCAGTTCTTTGCTGCAACAAAAGTGCTGCTTATAAACATTCTTGTACATATACCCTTAACCTTCTTGGGAAGGATGTTGGTGTTGTCAACAGAAACAAATAAGTTTGAAGGAAGGATGGATTTAGGGGAAAATATATTGAGTTCTGTATTGGACATGCTTATTTATGTGATATGTACTTCATGGCAATATTGTTGGGTCAAAGGGTATGTGCATAGTTTAATGACTTTTTTGTATATTGATTCTAATTGTTTTCCAAGAGTGATTGAGCTAATTCACAGTTCTGTTATTGTTCTTATCTTCTGTAGCTCCTTTGTTATTTTCCCTTTTGGTCATATTTGCCAGTCTGAGGAGTGTGAGGTGGAACCTTTTGAGTCCTATGAACTACTCTTTATCCTCACTATGACTTTTCCAGTTCTTTCACAGTCTTGACCCTGAGTTAAAATATTTCAGCCATTCTTTGTGAGGTACCCAGGTTCCTTGAGCATGTTGACACTCATACCTTGCCAGAACCAAACCCTGGTCAACCCATCTACCTTCTCTTTGTATATGAGCACTTCTGAAAAAGTCACAAATGTGCTGGCTGGTTTTACCTCAAATATAAGTTATCTCAGCTGTGCTCTCCCTGCTTATGTGGCAGTCTTTCCCTGATGAATTTTATCATATTCCCTACAGTGACTATTCCAACCTTTTTCCTCTCACATCAAACTACTGTCATTACCTCTTACCTACTCCCTCTCAGCAGAGGACCTCCACTTTTGTTCTACTGAGAGAATAGAGGCCATCAGGGCAGCTAGGTGGCGCAGTGAAATAAGCACCAGCCCTTGAGTCCAGAGGACATGAGTTCAGATGCGGCCTTATACACATAACACTCACTAGCTGTGTGTCTCTGGGCAAATCACTTAACCCCAATTGCTTCACACACAAAAAAGAAAAAGAGCAAAGAAGATAGAGACCATCCATCATGAGCCTTCTCTCTTTGTACTTTAGAACTCTTCGTTATTGGCCTTCATTTGCTCCTCTCCTCCAGTTCCTTATGAGGAGATAAGCCTCCTCCTTTTTAATACTAACCCTTCCACTTATGTTCTTGATTCTACCCCTTCTCTTTTCCTCTGGGTGCTTGCCCCCTTGATCATTCCCTCTCATTATTGGATTCTAATCTTTTATTTCTAATCTATCCTCCACATAACTTCCAAATTGATATTCATAAAACAGATGTGACCGTGTCAGATCACCCCTACTCAAAAATTATCAGTGGCTCCCTATTGCTCGTACGATCAAATACAAACTCCGAAGCCTGGTGTTTAAAGCCCTCCACAATCTGGCTTTCCCATCTCACTTTCCAGTTTTACTTCATATTACTCTTTGTCATGTACTTTCCATTCCAGCCACATTGGCCTTCTAGGTTTTTCCATAGATGTTATTGTCTCAGTGCCTTTACATAGGATGTCCCTGATGTGTAGACACCCTCCTTCCTCACTTTGATCTTGTGGAATTTCTGGCTTCCTTCGAAGCACAGCTCAGGTACCACCTTTTTCAAGAGATGTTTCTTAACTCTCCAGCAGAAAGTAAGGTCTTGAGGTTAGGGACTGTCTTTTTTGCCTCTTTGTAGCTCTCCTTAGTAAGTATTGTTGAGTTCAGTTGTTTAAATCATTTTTGGATCTTGACTTTTGCCTTCAGAACCATTTATCAGACACAAAAAGAAACCAGCCTTTTCATTTTATAACTTATTTTTTAACTACAGATTATGTTTTCCAGCTTAATTATCCATTTACTCATGAGACTTCTCTCTGAATAAGTTTTGGCTTGTTTCTAAAATCAAAACCACTTTCACAGATTGAAGACTTGCCTCCACTAAGTATATTCTGAAATGTGCAACAGGCTCTGAAAGTTAAAAAAGAGAGTTCCAAAAATATTTTGGCCAATGGTACTGTCGCTGAAATTGTGTATAGCCATGCCCGGTGATTACTTTGAAGGGGTTAGCATGCATTTGGATATGTGACTCACAACCCATCTTACTGCTTTATAGTCATGAAGCCTGCCCATATATTTGTGGGATAGGGATATTGACTGGACCTATGATTTCTTTGCTATAAGGATCTCTCAGTGAGGAAACTTCCTCTAACAATGCATCTTATAGTTTTAGGGAGTTGCCTAGAACACTTAAGAGGTTTAAGAATTGCTTAGGGTCACACAGCCAGTTAGAGGTGAGACTAAAGCCCAAGTTTTCTTGGCTCTGAAGGCAGCTTTGTACACTACAACATGATGCTTTCTCATGTCTGAATTGAAGATATAAAATGTTATATTTTAATTAGGAGTGAAGGTGAAAACCAAAATAATTATCAGTTTCAATTTAGAGAAATACAAGAGTATTTGCCAAAGAAGTAAATAATTTTCTTGTGTTACAGTGAAATAGAATAAAGACATTCTTTTGCTTGAATTTTGGTAAGAAATTTGTTCTGAAATTGTGTTAAATGGTTATTACAAGGCGATAATACAATGTCATTTTTATAATAGTCTCCTTGGATGGCTATATCTGGAATAGATTCTAAATCTTGGATCTCTTTTTCTTTGCAGACCTCCAAATCCCATTGAATTTCTAGCATCGTATCTTTTAAAAAACAAGTCACAATTTGAGGATCGAAACTAATTTTGGGAAAAGAATAAAACAATTTGGTTGTTACTGTAGATATATATGATTAAGAGGCAGTTTATATTGCCATGATTCCTTTTTTTTCTTTTGAAAATATATGAATCTTCAGGACCACAAATCTTGTTTTCAGTAACTCCAGAAGGGAACATATTTCCCTTATTCTTTATTTAATGAACATACTTATTTAATGAGCATATTCTTTGTTTTTATTTTTTCACATTGTCTTAAAATCAACCTTCAGAATAAATTGCTAAAAATTTGATTATTGGAAAGCAGTTTTTATTGAGGATATTTGTGTATTGTTTTGGTATTACTTCATAGTTAGCACTGATCCTATTTCTGATCATTTTTGCATCATGGTTTCCTTTTGGCTTCATTTTAGAATGTTGTATTGATTTACAGCACAATGAAAATATAGCACAGAGAAAAGATAAGTGGTATTTTAAGTGGTATACAGTTTGTCATTCCTACCTGTCACTATATTGCCTTAACCTGGCTGTCTCCAAATAGGTACTTCATAGCCAATCAAAATGTAGCATTGTTTCTCAGTTGCTTCCCTAAGCAATCACATGGCACCCAAGGCTTTGATGCATTTACTTGTTCGATTTTTATGGAGCCATTGAGATAACCCAACAACCTTGGGAGAGAGTGTTTATGGATAGTCTTTGGAGAAAAGAGTTTTAAGATAGCCTAGGAAAAAATTACAGTAAGTACCTTTTTAAAAGGACATCATGTTTCATGTCTCCCAACTAACACTAAAAGTTTTTGCAAAATTAAGAAAAAAAGCAGGAAATTGCATAACAGAGCTAGGTCTACTAAAGAAAAGTAGTACTGATCTGAATCTGCCAAATTTTTGTTTATATGAGTAACAGAAATCTGGAAATACTGGTTTTTGTCATTTCCACAGTTGTATCGTGATGTAGTAGGAAATATACTGGATTTGGAGTCAGAATACTTGGGCTTATTACTTATGAGGCCTATTCTTTCAACTGCTTCATCTCTAAGATGGAGATAATACTTAAGTACCTCACAGTGTTATTACAAATGTAAGAACATACAAAACACTTTTGGAGACTGCAAAGTGCTTTACAACCTTATGGTGCTATTATTTTCAAATGGTTTAGATTGTGAATCCTTGAGAGCAGAGAAATGGTGTTATCTTTGCATACACAGTGGACTGTGTATAGGTACTTAATAAAATGTTTGAAGGAATCAGATACACCAAATTTTTCATTCTGTCTGGTTTATTCAGTTTTTATGAATCTGCCCTGGCAGTTACATTTTTTATTTTAAATTAAATTATCAAAAATAATTGAACGGACATACAATAACATGCATTTTCATTTACCCATTTACCATTTTTAATTAACCAAAGTCAAACCAAGTAAATTAGCAGGGAAAAAGGAAAAGAAAATATGTTCTCTGTCCCTGTGCTTTCAAGTCTGTCTATTGCCTTTTGATTTCAATTTTATTTGAAAAAATAGTAGTATGTATCTGGGACTGGTTCTGCCAGTCTCATTTTGCATCAGTTCATTTTGTCTTTCCATGTTTTCTTGTATTCTTTAAATTTATAAAATTCCATGGCATTAATAAATAATTCAGCCATTTTCTAATAATAGAAATACAGGTTGTATCTATTTTATGCTATTATAAATGAAGCAGTTATGAATAATTTTGTATACATAGGCTTCTCCTACCCCCAACGTCCCTTAATGATAGTCTTATCATAAATTACTGGTAATAGAATTGCTGGCTCAAAAGGTATCAGTTTTGTGAATTTTATTGTATATTACCATAGTCTTCCAAATGCTTGCACAGATCATAGTTGCCATTAGCAGTGCATTGGAGTGCCTATTTTTCTTGACATGTTAAAACTGAATTTCATCAATTTTTTGTTGTTTGTATTTTATGGGTGTGTAAGATGCTATCTTAAGGTTGCTATGATTTTCATTTTTCTAATTATTGGGGAATTGGAGCAACTTTTCCTGTGGTTATTAAAAATTTGCATTTACCCTGAAAATTGTTACAATTGCTTAGTTAAACTAAATTGTTTAGGTTGGCAACTAAAATGCATACCACACAGTCAAAAAATATAGCTCTGAGGGAAATACAGAGGGAAATAATGTAATTAGACATGATTCCTTAAAATCTAAATGAGACTAGATACATGTCTTTATGTTAAATATATTAAATATATGTTAAATTGTAATGCAGTACAATTATGAGTGGATTTTTGCTCTGTGGAGATAATTAGCTAATTCTCTTGTATTTATTTTGTAAATACTTATATATGTAAATACATTCTCCCTGTTGATTCTGTCGGGGAGCTCCTTGTGTAAATTCCTTGAAGGCAGGCAGGGACTGTTTCTTACACACTCACACACACTCTTTCTCTCTCTCTCTCTCCCTCTCCCTCTCTCTCTCCCCATCCCCCCCACATATATACATGTATGTAGTGGTCTCTTATATGCTTAGTGATTTATTTTCTCCCCCAGACTCACTTTTCAAGGACTATTCTTTAATGATTTTATTTATTGTTATTGTTTCAATTATTATTGTTTAGGGAAGCAGAGGTGTAGATAATCAAGCATCATTTATATTTGACCTGGGTTGCTGCCACCTATTCCTGTCTTAACCTTCTTCAGTGATACCCAAAACAATTCCTTAGGTAGCAGGTTGGGGCAAGTCTTCAGGGAGGACTCAGCAACCCATATGCTTGATTTGGATACAAGTCAGCCTCAACTGAAAAATTTTTTTTTAATCTGTTAGGATTTAATACTTGATTGTTACTGTAATCTAGAAGTTTATATTTCTAAATTCTAGTTGATATCAGGAATATAATGCTAATTCCAACACAAATTATGGAGATGTGAGTTGTTGCCTTACTTGCTTTTTCCTACCCCCAATCTAGATTTATTAAAATGCTTTGGTGTTATTCTAGTATTTTTTTTCCCTCAGGGCCACATCAAATACAACATTGAGAAACTTGGAGGCCACTCATGTTATAAGCAGTGAATAAATGGAATTAGAGAATTTAAAACTTAATAATGCTCTGGGTCTCAATGCTTCAAAATTTCTGCCTGTACAAGTGAGAAACTTTCTTGTAACTTAGCTGTAGTTGTCTGGGGCCTACGACTGGTATTTGTCAGAAGCAGGACTTAACGTCTTCTGATTCCAAGGCTGGCTCCCTATCTACTAAGTCTTGTTGCTTCTCAGTATTATTAGATGGGATCTTAAGTAGTATGACTGTGTATTGTCATTCTGAGGCTTAGTCTCCTTAAATTTTGTCTCAACAAAGACCTTTTTCCCCAAACTACAAAAGCGGGGCCAAGAAATCCTGGGGTGTCCAGAAGGTAGTGATTGCTTTCATATACTATATGACATTTATATAGTCTTTATCATTTGTAAAAGACTTTACATAGATTCTCATTTGAGTCTTGGAACAATCCTATGAGGTAGGTATTAGAGGCATTATCAATTGAAAGTAGAAGAAACAGCTTCATATAAGTTAAGTTTGTTACTCATGCTCACAAAATAAATTTCAGAGGCAACATTTGAATTCAGCCTTTTCTCACTCCAAGTTGTTCAGTCTTATCCACTATACCACACTGCCTCTCCAAATATAAGTATTTTTGTCTTAGGAGAATAGAGTAAGCTATAATATAGAAATCCTTGAAAGATGAGAAATTAACCTTTATGATGGGAATTTGGGCTTTTGGATTGACAATTAAAATAGCCTGTCATTGTTGAAGTAGGTTGAAGATTGACAGTGGTATATAGATCAGAGGACTGAAGGGATCCCCAGTTTTGTTTGCTTCACCAAGTTGCATTACCAGTGGAGACCTGGCTGATCAGTCCAGGCTGACCAATGAGAAAAGAACTTTTTGAGATTCTGGGCATTTTTTTTTCTTTTCTAAAGAGAATTTAACCCTAAATTATGTATGTTGGTGGAGGTGACATTTAGGGTTGTTGATAGAACAGATGCTCTTTGCAGTTTTTCCTTATGGAATCTTTAAAATAGGATGCCATTTTTATTTTGCTGTAATTCTTCATTTCACCACAGAAACACAATTACCAATCATTAGGAGGAAGAGCTGGCATCATTGCAATGATTAATGATCAAGGGTGACCCATCCTTAGAGGTCTGTAGGACTTCTTAAAGGAGGGACCAATTTGGTATCACTAGAGGATGGTATCGTTAGACTTTCTGTACTTAAGTAAATTTGTCTGCTCCTTACTTGGATTTTTGAGAGGTCCCTAGAAGAATTTAATGTTATTGTACATGGAGTATGTCAGATTAGGCTGCCACATAAAAAGGTGGGTAAGTTTTAATGATTTTGATTTTTTCTTTTTCCAAAAATTCAGGGGTTGAGAGAGGAAAGACTGAAGAAGAAAGCAATAAATACTTGATCCAATGAGGATTTTATCCCAGCAAAGAGGCAAAAACCCAGTCAGATTAAGTGAACCAGACTTTAAATGTAACTGAAAATTTTCTTAGTGGAATTTCATATAAAAAGAGAAGTGACAACATACATTCAAGAAAACATCCGGCAGAAGAGGGTTGAGCATAGGAGTCTCTCTGTAATATTAATAGAGTAATGATTGTTAAAAATATTAGATGAGTTTCCTGCACTGCTTTTCTCTGTGTTAAAGAGGCCTGGCCAGTGTGGAAGTGGATTTTGCTTCAGTATCCTATGTTCTGGCTGAAGCTGGGTGGTTTCAAGACTTGTTTCTCCACGTGTGGGACCAACAGCACCTCCACCGACGCGCATGGTCCCCCTTGGTACACTGGCATGCTTTTGGAAACCTTGCACTGCAATAACTGTCCCCGTGAAAGGAGCACTGAAGGGGGCAAACCGCTCCAGCACTGGATCAACCCCATTTGTCTCCTCCATAAACTCTCCCTTCGTGGTCACAGGCTAAAGTTACCCAGTAAAGGAAACCTTGGCGTGTGGACTCATAAAGGCAGCCTTGTTGCAAAGTACGCGACTGTCACGGGTGTCCGGCCGGGGTTGGGGTGAGGGACCCTCAGTGAATCCGGAGTCTCCAGTCCCTGCCTTCGGCCCCCCTCCCGCCCGGGGAGCGTGGAGCCGCACGTTCGGCCGGCCGGCAGCTGGGCATGCTCAGTGGGCAGCTCTCGTCGGGGGGAGGGGGGAAGGTGGCGAGTGAGGAAGTCTTGGCTCTCTACGAGCTGGACTTCCTCAGCTAAGGCCCCGGCCCCGGCCATTTTTGTACTCCCGGTCAGGCAGACCCCCGATGCAGCCTTGAGTAGCCGCAGCTCGGTGTCTCCCAGGCCCCGGCGCAGGCGGCAGGGCAGGCGCGGGCAGGGGCGGAGCGCGGCGGGGCGGGGCGGGGCGTGCCGGCCCGGCCCGGGCGCGCTGGGGGAGGGGAGCCGCGGAGGGGCTGGGGCTGGGGCTGGGGCTGGGGGCGGGAGCGGAGTCGGGGGGTGGGGTCACCGGCGGCGGCGGCTGCGGCGGCTGCACCCGCCCGAGGGCGGGGTGGGGGGGCAGAGTGGTGTCGGGGCGGCTAGGCGGGCCCTGCCCCCGAGGGGGAGAAGTGGCGACTCCGGGGGCCGGCGCCAGGGCTCTGCCGCGGTCTGGGAGGCCGCCGCGGGCCCCTTCTTGCGGCCGTCCGCGTGCATGGTGATCCGGGACGGGGCCGCCGCCGCCATCTCCTCCTCCTCTTCCTCCTCCTCCGCTGCCGCCTCCTCCTCTTCCTCCTCCTCCTGGGTCGGGCCGATCCCCTCCCCGCGGCCGCCTCCTCCTGGGCTGGGCCCGCGGTGCCTCGTCCCCTCCCCGAGCCGTTCGTGCAGCCGCCGCCGCCGCCTCCTCATTCATCCTCGTGCACCATAGGCGGCACAGGTTCCAAGATGTCCAACCGAGTGGTCTGCCGGGAAGCCAGTCACGCCGGGAGCTGGTACACAGCTTCAGGTAGGAGGGCGGGAGGGCCCGGGCCGGGCCGGGCTGGGCCGAGTCAGGCGGCCGTCGCCGCCTCCACGACTCCCCCTGCGGCCCGAGGCGCGGCGCGGCGCGGCGCGGCGGGGAGGCGCGGAGCGAGCGGGCCGGGCCCGTCTCCGAGCGAAGGCGCTCTTCGGCACGCTGGGCTGAGGCGGGCGGCCCGAGCGGGAGAGGAAGGGGGGCTTGGCCCACTCCTCCCCCCGGGTCTTCACCCGCGGGATTATTCCTCCTGGCCTCCGCCTTTCTTTCCGACCTTCGGGCCGAGCTGACCGATCCCGCCCCGGAAGCCGGGGCCGGAGCTGTCGGTAACCCCGAGCCCTAGACTCCCATTCACCCCGCGAGTGGGGCCGGAGAGGGACCGGCTGCCCTGCCCATGCCCCTTGGAGGGTATTTCCTCTTTCTACCTCTGAGAATAGAAAGGGGGCAGACCCTCCCACATTACCCACGGGTAGGGGACGATCTTTATTTCCTTCTGGACCCTCCCTCCTCTTTTCCCTTACTTATGAGGGAGGGGACCCCCTGCCCTCCTGCCTTTCCCCTTTCCCTTCTTCCCTGTGTTTCTCCTTCCAGAGCCCGAGACTCGAGGGAGTTTTCTCCCTCCGGAGCCTCTCCCCGCCCCCCTCACGCTTTCTGCTGTAGAGTGTCTTGTCTAAACTAACCGCGGTAGTTTAGAAAGCGAGGCAGCTTCCTTACTGCTTTCCACCCTCCCCACTTCTCGAAGACTTAGAGCGAGGGGTGTAGACAGCAGATTTGTCGAGAACCCGTCCTCTCCCATTCTCTTTCCTTTGCTTAGAAGTGTGCCCTTCTTTGGTGGTGTGGGAATGGATTTGCAGGAGGCCTTTTTTTTGTGTGTGTTGGGGGTGGGGCAGAATTATTGTTAAGCCGAGGCCTGGGGTAGCCTGTTGGTTTTTTTGTCAGTGTTTTGTTGTTACTGTCATTTACCCAAGGGGCAGTTAGAGGTGGCATCAGCACTTTTCCAGGGCGACCTCACTGATCTTTTCCGTAGTCCCTCAGCACTCTGCAGTCGCTGAGGCTAGCTAGCTACCTAACAAACTGGTCCAGCTTTAAAGTGAATAAGCTGTTCCCGCTTTAAAGCTAATAAACCGTCCACGTTATCTATGTCTCTTCAGTAAATACTGAAGTAAATACACAGTATGCACTGTGTAGGAGGAAGAGGGACCTTCTGTTCCAGTGTTAAAACTACTATTTCTCAGGTGACTTGTCTCAGATGCTCTGGTTGTAACTACCTATAATTTCTT